TGGCTGCCTCCTGCATGCCCCCTACTGGGGATCAAGCCGGCAACCCAAGCATGTGCCCTCACCAGAATCGAACCCGGGACCCTTCAGTCCACAGGCTGACGCTCTATCCATTGACCCAAACTGGATAGGACATCTCCATCTAATTTTAGAGTGCTTGTGAACATTAAGAAATAGGAAGTATCTAGAATCTTACTTGGCACATAGTAGATGTTCAATAAAGGTGACTGCCTCCCCCCGCCCAGGGCTCTATCTGGTGGCAGGTCTTGAGCCCCGGAGGGCAGCAGTAGCAGTGGAAGTGGAGGGCAGGGAGCAGCTGATGCTTACCTTGCCATACTGCACGCTGTCCCCTCCTGCTGGCGGTCCTGCCTTCTCAGGGTCATCTAGGGGAACCTTTGTCTGGGCCTCCAAAGTGGTGCTGTCCTCAGGGATTGACTTCATGGACCTGTTACTTAGAGGAAATGCAGACAAATTAGTCTCTCTTCCTGGGGGGTGTGTGTGCCCAACCATCATGGCCACTAATAGAACACTGAGCTCCGGGGTACACTCTTCATTCATTCATTCATTCATTCACTCATTCATACATTCATTCAATCAACACACTGAGTACCAAATAGGTGCCATGCTGTGCCCTCCCTTTGTAGTGCCCAACTAAATGCCATCTATTACCCCAGAGTCGAACAAGCCCATTGTTTCAAGACCCTTTCACTGAATGAACTTATTTGCCCAACCTCAGAACTTGGTTTTTGGAGGGTTTGTGTTTTTTTGGCCTAAGCTTTGCTGCAATCATTTTGCCCCTGTTGTTTACCCTCAGATTTGTCATTCTAGGTTGGCAGAATGTCAATTCTGCACAATTCACTTGTTGAAGATTTCTTTATGTTCCTTTCATCTATGAATGAGTGGGCTGGCTTAACCTTAAATGTGAAACCATGGGCACTGACTTAACCTCTCTGTGACTCAGTTTCCTCAGCTGTAAAATGGGGATAATCTATCTGTCTTTCATCTACTAACCAATCTGTTATCTATCTATCCATCTACAAATTATCTATCTTTTTATCATACATCAACCAATCTATCATTGATCCATCTATCATTTATCAATCTATTATTTGTCTATCTATATCTATCATCTGTCTACATATTCATCTATTTATATCTATACATCTATCTCTATATCTATTCATCCATATATACTGTCAAATCAATCTATCTCCTATCAATCTATCTACCATCTATCCATCCTTTATCTATCTATCTATCTATCTATCTATCTTTCTTTCTTTCTTTCTTTCTATCTATCATCTATATACACTGAGTGGCCAGATTATTATGACCGGCCAGATTATTATGACCACCCCATCAGTACTTCATTGACACTTCCAAAAATACTGAATATTGAAAACCTCCTAAGCAAATACTCTCAAGGTTTATTATTATTATTATTATTATTATTTGCATAACTAATTCACTTCATTGTACTGATGGGGTGGTCATAATAATCTGGCCAGTCATAATAATCTGGCCACGCAGTGTATTTGCACTTCAAGGCAAATTGGTCATTCTGTGAACTGGGCATTTGGGGACTTAATCATTTTAGCCATTTGTTTGTCAAACACCTTTTGGTGAGTTATCCCACAACTGAGCACCATGGTGGGTGTTCAGCAGATGTTCGCTCCAGAATAGTTTTGGCTGCCCCCCCCCCCCCACCCCCGCCTGAGCCACAGGGGGGCTTCAGCCTCCGCCTGTGCCCTCCCTGTGCTCAGGACCCCAATGAAATCACCTCCTTGGGCCACCCACGGGCCTCCCGCCTCCAGCAGAGCCTCCGGGGTCCTCAATGGTGGTCGCGAGTTCTGTTTCTGCAAGGTCAAGGGAGTCCTGTTACACAGTGGGGTCAAGAACCTGGAGTCCGGATGCTGACACCCACTGGCTGTATGGCCCTAACTTGTCTGAGCACCCGTGGCCTCTGCTCTGGGTCCTGGAACCTCTGGGCAGGCCCTCCCAGAGTTCTCAGGAACGGTATCCAATCCATTCACGGCACTCCCTTCATTTACTCGGTACATAATATCGAGCCCCTGCTATGGACTTGGGG